CAAAAGTTGCCAAATTAAGTTCAAACTGAGCTTGGGCCTCCCTAATTTTTTTCCTACATACTCTAGCAGCCCTCTTAAATACTTCCTGAGAGACCTGACCCTCTTTCCAAAGATAATCCATCCTTTTTTTATTCCTGAGTTACTCCAAAACTCCCTTGCCCATCCAGGCTGGACATTTGCCTCGTCAACTCGTCTTTTGGCACACAGGGACAGTCTGTTCCTGTGCCCTCAAGATCTCCATTTCAAAGCATGCCCACCCTTCCTGAACGCCTTTGTTTGTAAGGACTGCTTCCCAAAGAACTCCCCGAATAAGTCTCCTGAATAGGCCAAAGTCTGTCCTCCTGAAAGTCCAATGTACAAGTCTTATTAATGTTCCTCCTGATTTCACCAAATATTGAGAATTTTATAATTTCATGATCACTATGCCCCAAGTGGCCTCCAACCACCACATCTCCCACCAGCCCATCTCTATTTATAAACAACAGGTCTAACATAGTCCTTCCCTTAGTGGGCTCACTCACCAGCTGCGACAAAAAGTTGTCCTCCACAAACTCTAAAAATTTCCTGGACTGCCTTTTGTCAGCTGTATTAAGTTCCCAGCAAATGTCTAGTAGGTTGAAATCCCCAACAAGAACAAGGGCTGATGATCCAGAAACATTCTCTAGCTGCTTACAGAATGAGTTGTCCAGCACTTCTTCATGGCTGGGTGAACAATAACAGACTCCCAGTAGGATGTCAGCCTTGTTGGCCTTCCCCCTAATTCTTACCCATAGGCATTCAACTTCATTGTCATTAATTTCAATACCCATGGCGTCCAAAGCCTCCCTAATATAAAGGGCCACCCCTCCATTTTTCTCCCTTTCCTCTCTCTCCTGAAGAGCTTGTAGCCATCCAGTGTAGCACTCCAGCTATGTGAGTCATCCCACCATATTTCCATGATGGCAATTACATCACAGCTCTGCTGTTGCACCATGGCCTCCAGCTCTTCTTGTTTGTTACCCATGCTGCGTGCATTAGTATACATGCACCTCAGCTGGGCTACTGATTTCACTTCTGTCTCAGTCTCTTCCAGACAGACCAACTCATCCCCTTCCCCCTTCAAACCTAGTTTAAAGCCCTCTCAACAAGTTCTGCCAGTTCACAAGCTAAAATCCTTCTACCCTTAACAGAGAGATGGAGCCCATCCAGTTCCAGCAGGACAGGTGCTGTAAAAGTTACCCCAAGATCAAAGAATCCAAAATTCTGCCAATGACACCAGCCCTTGAGCCACTTATTGATAATGTGAGCTCTCCTATTCCTTCCACCATTTTTCTTAGCCACCAAAGGCTCTAGGAAGAGATGCCACATACAGATGGGCTTGTGATCAAGGGGTGGACCTGACCATGGAGGCCATCACACAAGTTATTCAGAAATGTGAAACATGCTGCAATCAAACCAGCCACATGAGTAGAATGTCCTTGGAACAGAGGGCATTGGCTGGGTTTCTGATGTGGTGGGGCCTGGCAAACTGACTACATTGGACCACTGCCATGAATACGCCAAGGCAAGAGCTACATACTCCCCATGGTGGAGGCAACAACTGGCTGGCTGGAAACACCCTGTAAGCCATGCTGTTGGAAATGCTACAAAGGTTAAAATGTTTTATGTAGCTTTAGTCAATTTTGCTCACTCTTGCCATGGGGGAAGGGAATTGAAATTTCTTTTCAAGGGATTGGTCCACCAGGTGAGGTCTGATGAGCTTAACATCTCAACAGACTGGGAGTAGCACAGAAGATACACAAAAGATAATGACCATCAACAACTATTACAAACTCCACACATGACCCCTGGCATGGTCAGAGACACCTGATCTGGGAAAAGAGAGATAAGAATGAGGACCTAATTAGCATGGAGGCAAAGAGATTGGTAGCCAATAGGAAACCAAATACTAAGAACTGCATAACTTGGGACCAATGAACATTGAACCAATGGATTTCTATGGGTTTTGACTGTATAAGTATCTGAAAAATCTATTAAAATTGGAATGGGAAAATAATATCTATCTGTGAAAGGACAGGGAATAGTAGTAAATGAAAATGTATAAATCTGTATGTTTGGTATAAAGAAGGTTTTAAAACATAGATTGTGTTGTAAGAGTTGGTAAGAAGGGATTTCAGTAATAGTATTAAATACAATGGAATAGTTAAGATATATATGTATTTAATTATGTGAGATATGAGTATGACAAATGGTATGGAATAAGGGGTGGAGTGGAATAATATTGGAATGGAATAATATTGGGTTTAGCTGAGCTGGAGTTCATTTTCCCATAGCAGCCCTCTGAGTGCTGTGCTTTACATTGGTAGCTGGAAAGGTACTGATAACACACCAGTGTTTTGGCTACTGCTGAGCAGTACTGGAGCAGCATCAGCACTGTCTCTTCAACATTCTGCCATCCATCAGTAGGGTGGGGGAGGGCAATATCCTGGCAGGGGACACAACCAGGTCAGCTGACCCAAATTAACCGAAGAGATATTCCATACCATATGGCATCAGCTCAAATATAAAAGATAAGGGAGGGAAGAGGAACGGGAGGGCATTCATTATTTTACAATGCCTTCCAGACCAATTGCTACACATGCTGAAGCCCTGCTTCCCGGGAAGCAGCTAGACATTGCTCGCTGATGGGAAACAGAGAATAAAATTATTTTTTTTCTCTTTGTTTGTGTGTGCGCAACCTTTTGCTTTTGCTTTAGTAAACTGTCTTATCCTAGCCTATGAGGCATTTTCCATCTTATTTTCTCTCCCTTGTCCAGCTGAGAAGGGGGAATGATAGAGTGGCTTGGTGGGCACCAGGCATCCAGCAAAGGTCAACCCACCACATCATTGGTAGCTGAGTTAATTCCAGGAATTTTTTAATTGAAGGGTTTAGCACACTCTACTACCTCAGGTATTACAACAATGCTTCTCTCAGGACACAAGGATGTTGAACAGATGGTGTGGGGCAGACTTACACTGCTTCCCTAGGACACAGCTGTTTAAAATGTCAGGTGAAAAAGCAGGAGATGCTCTCTGAAGGTTTCACTTAAAATCCCTTCCAGCATGCAAGAGGAAGAATATTTTGGCAGGATATGGAACCCATACAGCTACATAATCCTCAGTCTGTATCAATCTACTCACAGTGCTATGACCTGAAGACAGATTTAAAGTTCCATAATGCCTACCATTTAGAAACACTTTAAGATGCCTGTAAAACCAATTCTTCATCAGCAATAGCACTCTGACATGAGTAGTTTGCAGGACTGCTATAGCAGTATCTACCACAACTGACAGTCTTCACTGAAGTTAACTCCAGATGATCATGGGGTCTCAATGTCAGATGAGATGGAAGTGCAGATGGGGCCTGGGGCCAGACATCAGATGTTGGCCTCTCCAGGCCCCACTGGCTTGCTGCCTCGTGCAGCCCTCTGTGAGATGACTTACAAGTTCTCAGAACCACCCTTATACCAGCATTCACTGTCTTGGTTTGAAAACACAGGTGTCTGTTAAGGAAGGCAGAAGCCTTCCTTGAAATAAAAAATGTAAACCCTCTCCCTCTGAATTATTATAATTTTGAAATTAAGGGGCTCTCAGGCAAAGATATGGGAATAGGAATAACCGTTCTTTACTAGGAAAGTTTAAAAAAAGCAAAAAAATGCAATAGTACAAAAAAACAGAAAACAAACCACTGACAGAGTCAGAACATGACCTGACACCCTGTGGGTCAGGATGTTGGTAGCAGTCCGATTAAATGGTGGCTGCTGTCCTCCTGGAGTGACAGATGTGGTTCTGTTGAAGCAGTGATCCTGTAGAAGGGTGTAGTTTTCCTCTGAAGGTCTGGTGGTGGTGTAGATGGGCCTGATCTTCCTCTGGGAATCCAGTGGAAAAGACAGCTGCTCCTCTGGGAATCCAGTGGGAAAAGGCTGTCTCTGTTGTTCCAAATGTCTGATTATATCCAGGTAGGAATACTTGGCTCCTCCCCCTGGGCAGAGCATCTCACAATGGGATGATGTAATTTTTATCAGTCATGCAGTGACACTCAACGGCCCATTAAGAGAAGATATCTCCCAGGAGGGAAGATTGGTTGTGGAAGAGATAAAGAAAACTGCCCAATTAACATAACTGCCACACTTCTAACAGATGGGTATAGAATACACACCCCCATTTCCAACCTAAGACAGTCCTTGACAACTTTAAATCTCTTCAAGCAGCCCACGCTCAGTATCATGAAGAAAATGTTTTCAAGCTAGGGAGTGCTTCTTTCTAAAAAACTTTTATATAAAATCATTCTCCTTCTGAATTTGCTATGTAGTTTTACCATGATCCAATCATGGACTTGATGGCCCAGTGTTACACTCTGAACACCACTCATATATGCACTGAACTAAGGGCCTCTTCAAATTGATTAGCATACATTAAGTCAAATGGTATCTGTTCACTCTGGTCTTAGGGTGACAAGGCTGTGCATGACTCCTGAAGCTGGACTCCAGCTCTGGTTCTTTCTGCAGTTGGAGCACCCCAAGTCCAAACCCCTTTATCATAGGCTGACTGCTGCAGGAGACTTTTCCCCAACATTTCTTGTCTCATCACAAAATTTTGTAGGATGCACTCAAAAATGTACTTGGAAGGTGTACAAACAACTAGTTGTCTAAGTATCCCAATACAGCAAGACTCCACATACCAGTTTAGGGGATCCAAGAATACCCTAAAACTGCCAACACCCATGACATGATGCTTCAGTTGGGGCTGTTTGCTGCACTTGCAGGTATGAGAAAGGCTCCATCCCTGCCTACAGAAACAGCATTTCCTACAACATTTAGATTTAACTCTGCAACCATGAAGCTGACATTTAAACACAAACAGCTAATTACTTTAGTTATGGCTAGAAATGTTTAGTACCTTCAATACTTCCAGAAATTAAGGACACAGGAAACCTTTTCACATACTGGAAAAAAAAAATATTAGCTTAAAAACCACTTTACCTCATAAATGTTGGGGTGCCACATTTTGGTCAGGAATCTGAAGGTAGGTGGTGAATATGGATAGTCAATAGGAAATTTAATGTGAGCCTGGAAAAGAAAGCAAAATATTTAAATTATGAAACAGAACAAAAAGATCAACAAACAATCATTGCAGTGAAAAACATGGAAAAAAAATCCATTAAGTCCATTAAATAGCTTGTTTTGTATATCAGTGCCCATGTGGACCCACAGTATAACTCTACACAATTTCTTATGAAAAAAATATTAACTGAACAAGAAAAATCTAAACACCAGGCTTTACTTGGGCTGGTAACACTCAGAAAACAATTCATAAGGAATTTACCAAATCCTAATTCAAGAAGTACTATCCAACAACTGTTGTTCAACAGAATAAACTAGATTTGAAAAGCTAGAGTTCAAGATATAATTGCGCTCTTGCTAGGTTCAAAACACTTGCAGGATAAAAAAACTTGCTAAGGTGAAAAAACTATCGGTGATTGGAGAAAGATGGGGACTCTGTGAGACGGTCAAAGAATCTGAATTTATTGTGAAGTACAATTGCTTATATACTTATTCCAGGAAGACTAGTAATGTTTTACTACAATGATTGGGTTAATCATCACATAAACAAACTTATACATTTTAAATATATCTTGCTTGCAGAAGTTGATGTAATTTTCTTTTTCCCGTAAACCACTCTGATTTAATCTTCTTTCAATCTTGAAAGCTGTTTGTTCTTGCCAAGGCATCCTGTTATCAAATCTCATGCTAGCTAGGTCCAAGGTCCATCATCTGTCTTGTGTATCCCAATTAAGACCTGTTCTACATTTGCCAGTGCAAAGGTTTTTAATTACTCTTTCTGTGTGGGAAAAAAAATTAAAAATTATTGAAGACCTGTTCAATTGAGATCTAAAGGGTTGGGGTTTTTTTGCCTCTTGTGTGAGTTAAACTGGTGGTCCTAGAGTGACTTTATGATGCTGTATTGTATCCCCTACTGTCTGCTTTATGGCAGATAGAAGTCCTGTGCCTTTAAGCGAGCTTGAAGAGAGAAGGGGGGGGGGGGGAAGTGGTGGAAATTCCTTTCCCTGCTTGTGTTTAAAAACAGAGATAAGGGTCTGGGTTTTTCTTCCAGTTCTCAGCCCTGCAGCAGGGAAGAGAGATGGAGAGTTCCTCTTTGCTTTTATCTAGTTTTTCTAGTAGCTAAAGCAAAAACATTTTCCTGGGACTGTGGCCTTTTCTTCTTCTGGAACTGTTCAGCTGTTCTCCGGTCTGGAACACCATCGCTGGGGCCCCCTTCCCACACCGCACTGGCCGGAACTCTGCAGCCCAGCACCAGGGTGGGGGGAGCAGGGGCTGTGACCTGGGCAGTGAGGAATGGGGGGGGGGGGGCGGGGGGGGGGGGGGGAGAGATAGAGCGAGCCAAGGCACACCCACAGAAGGATTCTCTGAACCACAGAAGGACTCTGAATTTACTATCGCTTCAGAGCAGCGAGAGGTTTTATTATTTCACATTATTAATTCTATTCATGCTTGTGAACACCCTGCTTGTTAAATAAACAGGGTTTTTTTCCACTTTCTCCAGGGGAATTTTTTCTGAACCTTGTGTGGAGGAGGGGTTGCTGAAATCTGCCTTCTTCAGAGAAGACACCCTTTCAGGATGTTTCATCCTAAATTTGTCTCAAACTGGGACACTGGTCCATTTACTTGTGTTCCTAATACTACATTTCTTGCCACCAAAAGCATTCTCCAAGTCTGAATACCATCTGTTTGTTTAATAAATCAGCATAACTTGATGAACCAAGTATTAATGGGCAATGACAGCAAAATTACCTTCCCATGCCTCTCAGGTTAGTAGGCAGATGTGGGGCTAGACTCTCAGAGCCAAGTCAGTTGTGGGAAGGCTGCAGAGGTCCCAGCACTGAATATTAACTTCCTTGTGCTGTCCTGTCATTCACAGCAGTTAGAAGAGCCAGCCAGTAGGAAAGCAAGTTGAATCTGGAGTGATTAATGCCAAAAATGGTCCCCTCAAAGGAGGACTCACAGACCACTTTCTGCACTGTGGAGCGCAGATCCTTCCCTTGGCACTGCTCAACCCACCAAGAAAGTCCCACCAGTCTAATGTGCCATCTCCAGAGAAGCATCTTCTGGCACCTGCACCACAGCTAGGCTCACAATCAACTGAGAATACAAAAAGAGACCCCAAAAGCAGGTCACATAAAATGAGATCAGAATCCTGGTTCACCCTCTTCCATTTAAGCACCTAACCATGCAACTTCTATGCAGAGTGCTGACCTTGGTTAATAGGACAAGCTATGGGAACTTTTATTTTGAGAAACAGGACCAGGCAAACAGATTGAATTAGAGTCATTGATAACCTGGCTACTGTTTTACTTAGACTGGCATATGTTTTTGCCTTGCAACCCAAATTTTAGGAGGCCAGAGTGCCAGATATGCAAGAAAAGGTTTTTCTGTTCACCTTTATGAAACAAATTCAGAAGCTCATGTGGCTTTACAGTCTGTACATGCCTGATCATGATACTGACTCTATGTGGGTATGTTACAGCACCACTGACTCCTTGTCTCAGTCATTTGCCACAGCACCCTCACAACCAAAATATTTATGATCTGTATAAACAATCCTAGCCCACAGTTCAAGGTCAGTTACACAAATGGCATGGCTCCAAGAGCAGCAAACAAATGCCTCGTCACCACACCATCACAGAAGAGAGTGTCTATGGCTATGGCAGCAAGGACATGCCTAGCTCTACATGCCACCCTACAGTGGGAGCAGAGCAAAGATTTACCCAGGGCAGAACACATTCACTTCAGCTCAAGTGTTTGCATTGTATAAGCTGCAGACTCCTCTGGACCAATGGGGTTTTCCTAGGAAAGCCCATTCCTGTGCTTACATGCAGTTTCACTTGATCCAACACATAATAAAAACAACTCAAGGACTGAGATTAAAAAAGCAAGAGACAACAAAACAAAGGGTTGAGCTAACTGTAAGTTTTCTTGGCAATGAAATGGAGGTTTTGGGGGTTCGCTTAAGTTAGCAATATGAATTAAGCATTTAAATTTTAGCTTCTAGAATTATGTGTTGAATTTTAACTTTTTACTTAAGAAACTTCTGCCATGGTACAAAGAGAATAAGAAAATGCAAATTTCTGAAGCTTCTTGTGATAAAGGACAATACCAAGAGAAGACCAAGGAATGCAAAAAACTAGATAAAGGAGCTCCTATGTCTCCAAGCTGATCAAAACTGACAG